TGACAACACCAAGTCAAGGGTTAAGATCCCCTTACCAGTCATCTTTAAAAAAAAAAAAGTCATTTCCTCTCTCTGTATCTAAGTTTTCTCATATATATATTATATATATACATATATATATATATATACACACACACATACACATACACACAAAAGCCTGGACTAAATAAGCTCTAGGTTTCCTCCAGTTTTAAGATGACATTTAAATAACTCTTCCTAATACCAGCCTTTAAAGGTAAAGGGACTCCTGCTGCAAGGGGCCACAATACCGTCATCTTCTTCTAATGGATTCTGCATCTCAGACCAAAAAAGAAGTTTCCTGTATTGAAGCAAGGGGCCTGACACCGAAGTTGTAAGGTAGGGTCAGTCTACACAGATAGCTCACCGTCCACTGCCCACAGGCAAAAGGACACAAACTGTGTACTGGTTATTACCACTCAGCAGCATAGAGCTTTACTGAAATACATACTGTGTACTTATTATCCCAGTAGCACCAAGGATCAAAACATACCTCCTTAGCCTATCTCCCACTATAAGGCCAAAGAACTCCCCCTTCAAGTACAATCACCTTTTGTGAATGCCACTCACTTAGTAACAACAGTCACCTACAAAAACAGGCTTTGTTATAAGATCCAACATGGTACACAAACAGTAAGGACACCTTTTCTTCTCTGGCACCCCAGCCTTGCAGCAGCAGCAGCCCAAGAGTGACACCTGCTGGAGAATTAGAAGCAAGGGCTTGCCCATCAACTAGAGACTATCAAGCCCCTTTAGAAGGTAGTAAGTAGAAGATGCAGGTTAGTACCTGTTTGTATTATTGATTTACACCAGAATGCAGCCACTCGATTTTTGAGGAAGTGGTGGCCTTTCTTTAATGTGTGTGTGCACTAAGAATATTTTACAATATAACTCATTCTGAGTCAGCTCATTTAAAGGAGACTCCAGTCAAGTGTTTGGAATCCTGTACCAGCCAGAACGCCCCCCTCAAAAAAAAAAAATTTACAAGTGACTCCATAAATAATGTAACTACTGTATTAATATACTATTTCACAATGAGAATCCTGCATTATTTGTACATTTTAAGAGAAAAAAGCATAAATATAACATTGCTTACAGCAAGATGACAAGGGACTTCATTTCTACATATACATTTTTAAATTCTTGAACTTTATTTAAACTATAACACATAAATACTTTTTGTCTCCAGGGGTTGGGGGGGAGATTTAAACAAACATTTTTGGTAGATCCTTAATAGTTTCTAGGTTTTAAATGGCCCACTTTATTAAGATAAGATTATTAATATTTTAGGTATACGATGTGGTAGCCACTAGTCACATGTGGCTATTTACATTTAAATTAATTAAAATTTTAAGGAAAAAGTAAAAAAATAAAAAAATTAATTAATTAAAATTTTAAATATTAAATTCAGTTCCTCAGATCATATTAGCAGCATCTCAAATGCTCAATAGCCACATAAGGATAGTAGCTACCATACCGGACATAGATACTGAACATTTCCATCATTGTAGAAAGTTTTATTGGACAGCAGTACTCTAGAGAAACAGAAGCATTTATTGACAAAATTATATGATGTCTGAGTTGGGGAATATAGATGAAAGAAGGCTGGCCAAACACTGATAATTTCTGAAGTCGGGTGATAGGTATATATGGTAGTTCATTTATTATACTTTTCTCTTAGTTTTTATATATGTTTGAAGATTTCCATAATAAAAAGTTAAAAGGGCCGGCCCGTGGCTCACTCGGGAGAGTGCGGTGCTGATAATACCAAGGCCCCGGGTTCGGATCCCATATATGGATGGCCGGTTCGCTCACTGGCTGAGCGTGGTGCTGACAACACCAAGTCAAGGGTTAAGATCCCCTTACCGGTCATCTTTAAAAAAAAAAAAAAGTTAAAAGAAAAGAAAAATAAAAGTGATTCACTTTAAGTGAATGAGGTTATCATATTAAGGAATATACCATGGAGGTCAGCTTGGACAAGTCTTTAGTCATCCTGACCAGACTCCCTCACTCAGAGACCTGTAATGTGACTTTCAACAAGAAACTCTGCCTTCTCTGAGCCTCACTTTCCTCAACTGTTAGGTGGGAAATTTAATACTTGCCTTGCAAGGAGTTGTTGTGGAAATCAGAAATAATTATTTCAAAGCAAGAACATAGTACCTAACACATAGTAGACTTTCAATAATTAGTATTTCTAATTATTATCAAACAGGAAGAGGGACTGCTAGAGCAGGATGGACAAAACTGACCGGAAGCCCACTGGAACTAGGGGCTGGAAACAGGAACTGCTAGACTTCTTAGAACAATAACTGAAGACAGTCTTTTTATGGCTACCTTTAATAATTTAATAAACTTTTTGAGTGCCTACTACCTGTCAGGCACTGAGCTGGCTGCCTTCTCACCTCTCTTGACAAATAGGAAGAACAGAGTCCCAGGCTCCTGATGTGGACCATTTCATAAGGCAAAATATTCTATAACCAGGAATTTAGGAGCTGTTAATCCAGAACTAGTCTCAATCATATATGGGCATACAGGACATAGCAACAGCCCCTATTACTTTGTCTACCTTTCACATCCAGCCAAGTCTCCCTCTGTTCCCTACCCCAAGACCCTCTGTAACTGACTACTATCCTGCATATACCATACCCTTTCCTCCCTTAGTATGTGTTGTTGCTCTAAAATAAAAAAGTCTTTCCCTCTCCAAATCCTACTCATCTTTCAAGATTTGATTTTTGATGACACTTCCCTTTCTCTGAAATTAGACTACATTTCATCTCAGTACCATAAAATCAATCATTTGCTCATCTATACTTTTGGTAAGTTCCATGTAAATAGGTCTTGCCTCCACAATAATACTGTATACTCCATAGGGCAAAGACCATGTATTACACTTCTTTTGGATTCCCCATAGTACCTAGCACAGGGCTGGAAAAATTGTAACCATTCAACTAATACTTACTGAGTGACTGTCTAAAGCATCCTCCCAAAATAACAAGTACGTTATGTACACAATCCATATTCCCACCCTTGTTAGAAACTTATGTCAGAGAAATTTCAGTTTTTTTCAACAGAGGATCTAATGCAGAGCAATATGCTGTTTGGATCCAATAGGCATATTTTGGGAGTTTGGTGATTATGCTAGATTTGGCCTTTACAAAAGTACAGAAAGAAGTCCCTAATAAATCAAGATAGATGCGCATACACCCATACATGGAACATGTGGTGGGCGATCAACTACACCCACTCTGTTTCTTCCATGAAAGAGTTGGCTGGAACGCCAACCCAAGTATGGAGAGAACTTCCTTCCATAAATTATTATTCTTCCCCACCCCAAGGTGAATGTCCAATTGGAAGGTCCATTCAAAGAATCTTAACTAAGCAACTAATAATGCTGTCCAAAAGCACATATCTCCAAAAAAATTAGAACCCTCCTTGTATACATAGTTTTTTTTTTTCTTTTCCCTTTGTCAAGCTATAGTGTTCCAAAAGATAAGGATAAAGAGGTGAACAGTTATCCAAAGCAACACGATCGAAGAAAAGCCAATATATTAATCATGGTTCTCCTTTACTACTGATTCTTAAGCACTCTGGGACATTTTCTTGTCTCACAATAACTAGTCCTGCACATATAATCCTACAAGAAGGTCAAAAAACAGGGCAGAAAAAGTCAGTGGTTCTATCTCCTCATGCCTCTCTAACCTAATCTACACTCTCCTTTCAAACCTAAAGCCAGAGCCTTGGGCTTAGCCAGAAATAGAGCTAGCACACCCAGCTGACTCCTACCACTAGGCCTTACCCTATCTCTGCTACAAGAGCAAGATTTTCCAAGAAGATGCAATAGGGAGATCAGAACCAGAAACACTGGTCCCGGACACTCCAGATATAGCCACAACATCTACAGGACTAAAGGAAGAGATATAAGGAGAAAAGTAAAGGATGCAAGAGAAGACAGGAAAGAAACTGCTTACCTCCTGAGTGAATCTTCCTCAGAGCTTTCCTCAGGCATGTCCTGATGTAAGGCCTCCTGTGATACAGTTCCAGATCTGCTGGACTGGGTGTAAATTCTCTCCCAGTGGCCTGTCTCCTGGTTAAAGGCCACCCCGACAGTCCTCTCCTCCTGCGGGCTAGAAGAGCTGCTCAACTCCAGCCTGCTGGAGCTGGGCGTTTGGCCCTCAGTCCGCTCAAGAGGTGGCAATTGGCTGCCACTCGATGGCATGCCCTCAAAGGTACTAGGGACCTGCCAGGAGGAGCTAGCCTCTCCAGAGGAATAGTTAGGTGTGCTTCTTTCCCAGCGCAGGGTATCGTTGTTGAAGGTCAGGAGATTGTGGCAAGCACGGCAGCGATTCAGGTGGCCACGGGACAGGTTGGAGTTGTTCTCACTGCTGTGTGGGGTGGGCTGGTGGGAAGGGCCTGGCCTCTCAGATTCAATGTTATTGTTGAGCATTTCCTGGGCCTGTTGGTTCTGGGGAGCTTCCCCACTCAGGCTCTGATCCAGCTCCTGAAGCCGGTCATACTCCAAAAAGAAGCGTCTCAGGTCACATTGAAGCTCATGGCGAATGCTGCCTGAATTGTTCTGGCTGGAGCCATTTCCTCCATCTGACTCAGTTGCCAACCCTGATGCTGGAAAACCCCTCCCTTCTGTGGCTGAAGTGTACACAGACGCCTGAGAGCCACCTTCCTGCTGTCTCAGCACAGAGAGCAAACTCACCGAAGAGGCACTGGTCCTGGGCGGGGGCATGGATTCCGCCTCAGAGCGGGAGTTCAGACTGAGTACTGTCCGGGTCCACTCAGATCCTGTCAGCCCAGGAGCTATTTCTCGGTGATACCTAGAAGGGTGGCTAGACAGAGGGCCTCCCAAAGAACGACGGGTGGGACCCAGACTGAGGTTGCGGAGCGTGTTGCCGGCAGTGCTGCTCTGGACTGTACTGAAGGCAGACGGCCGGTTCAGGAGGCCCTGGTCCTGCTGCGTTGATGAGGCCTGCTCCGGGGGATGGAAGGGCTCGGTCTGTACAAAAGAAAAGGAAGGGGTAGTAGCCCTGGCAGAAGCAGGGGGCACACTGTCCTGGTGTGGCAAGAGGGAAGGAACTCGAGTGCCAGAGCAACGGCTGCAAAGGCACAGGATCCCAAGGTGCTGGCAGCACTCAGCTGTGGGGTAACTGACCCGCTGTCGGAGCCTGATGTAAGCGGAAGTCCTGGGGCGCTCCATGGAGGGCTGAGGGGGAGGCGGTGGGGGTGAGGGGGTAGCAGAATCTTGCACTGTGCTTTGCTCTCCCACCTGGATGCCAGAGGAGCGGGAGGACAGCATGTGCAGGAAATTGTGGAGGAGAGGCGTCCGGCGAACTGGCTGTGATTGCAGGAGGGCACGCTGACGGTAGTGGGATAATTCTGTTCCATCTATTGGGATCTCTGGTTCATCATCACCCTGCAATATGGACCAGCATGGGGAAGGGGGCAGAGCAAGGGAGTTAAACCTCCAAGTAAACCAAGAAAAACAAACTACCAATAATCATCCAAGGAAAACAACCTTTACAGGTAGGCAACAACTCTCTACCCACTAAGACCTAACTGGCTTCAGATTCAGAATCGTCATATGGCATTAAATTGTTCACTTCCAATTAGCAACATATCTGAATGAGTACAGCTGGCAAACCAATTCTCTTACAAAAGTCATCTCCATGACATGGAAAACAGTGCAGGGAAGCAAAATGTCAACCAGCCAGAGGCACAGAGTGACAAGTTATCCAACACTGCCTGGTGATGAGGGTTACTTCTAATGAGGCAATCACTCAGGGGTTTCAGGATTGACTCTCCTGTCAAGATTACGGCTTTACCAGCAACAAACAAGCTGTCGACGGAAGACCCTGGTCTCCCATGCAAGAATGAGGGGGGTGCCATGGGCCTTGACCACACACCCCCTTTCCTCCTTCTCCAACCCTATTTCCTTCCCCCTTTTCCTCTCCCCTCCCCACCAACTGCTCTGCAACAATATCTTAGAATACAAAAAAATAACAATATTAAGGGCCAGCCTATGGCTCACTTGGGAGAGTGTGGTGCTGATAACACCAAGGCCACAGGTTCAGATCCCTATATAGGGTTGGCCGGTTAGCTCACTTGGGAGAGCGCGGCGCTGACAACACCAAGTCAAGGGTTAAGATCCCCTTACCGGTCATCTTTAAAAAAAAAATTAATAAATAATAATGATGATGATAATAAATTTTTTTTAAAAAGAGTATGGCTGTAACTTTGAATATATAATCTGAAGCTAGTTTTAAATCTTGACTGGAAAGACTTAGGTATTGAGAATTAAAATCCAATATAATCAGAATTAGAGCACTAGTCTAGAAAATAACTCACAGTTTAGATGGAGTTGGAATTGCTGGACTAACTTACCTGCTGATTAGATGGGTTAACAATTGCTGTGAGTAAATAGTGTCCAAGTGGATCAAATCTCACCAGACTGAAATCACGGAAGAGACAGAGACAAGCACAGAGAGATTATGTTAACTGAGAAGAAGAAACTTGCATTCGAATTTACAGCAATCATTACTGAAAACTGCGGGATTACTCAGGCATAAACTTCATGCTAGACTTTCAAAAATTTTTAAGAGATTAAAATAATAAGGCTCAATACTTCTTGCGAGAGTAAAGGAATATGTATCACAAAAAATAATAATTTTACATTTGAAAAACAACTAGGTTTCCACCCCAGGAAGCAGCTAAATCAGCACGCATTTGCTCATATCTAAGAGCCCATCCTAACAGTAAAGCACAGAATGCTCCCATACTCTGCCATGGGTTCAGTTCTTCCCTCACACTGCAGCTACACTGGCAAGAAGCATGAATTCTTTTTTTTTTTTTTTTGTCTTTTTTTCATGTCCGGCAACGGATCGCAACCCTCAGTGTCATGCCCGTACCGGACCAGGACCGGCAACGGAATCGCAACCCTCGGTGTTGCACCCGCACCTCGCTCAGCCAGTGAGCGGGAACCGGTCTGTATGTGGGATCCGAACCCTTGGCGGGAGCGCCACTGCACTCCCAAGTGGCACACTGTAGCAGTGCGCCACCGGGCCGGCCCAAGAAGCATGAATTCTGGTGGCAATGAACAGTCCCAGCATCAAGTGACATTGCTCAAACTAGAAAATTAGCATATATCTAACTGCAATACCAAGAGAACCGAAGGAAGACAATGCATCAACTTTAATTCAGGTAATATGTGTTTTTATTTTGAGGAATAAATAACCCCTTTCTCCACATCCTCAATGATGGAGTTTGGATGTGTTGTCCCCTCCAAAACTCATGTGGAAATCTGATCCCCAATGGGCAGTGCTGGAAACTGATTGAGTCACGGGGGCAGATCCCTTATGAATGGATTAATGCTCTCCCTGGGGGAGTGGGAGTAATGAGTGAGTTCTCTATTAGTTCCCACAAGAGCTTGTTGTTAATAGGACCCTGGCACCTCCTCTCTCTCTCTCTCTCTCTTGCTTCCTCTCGCCATGTGATCTGCTTGTACCTGCCGGCTGCCTGCCACTTTTCTGCCATGAGTAGAAACAGCCTGAGGCCCGTGCCAGATGCAGCTGTCCCAGAATCGTAAGCCAAATAAACCCTTCTTCTTTATAAATCACCCAGTCTCGGGTATTTCTGTTATCTTTATAAATCACCCAGTCTCGGGTATTTCTGTTACAGCAACACAAAACGGACTAATAAGGGCCGGCTCATGGCTCACTCGGGAGAGTGCGGTGCTAATAAGGCCACGGGTTCGGATCCTATATAGGATGGCCGGTTCGCTCACTGGCTGAGCGTGGTGCTAACAACACCAAGCCAAGGGTTGAGATCCCCTTACTGGTCACCTTTTAAAAACAAAAACAAACAAACAAACAAAAAAACGAACTAATACAGTCAATTAGCAGATTTGATACAAGCTTACATCTCCACCTTCTTATTTGATAAACAGGGACAACCAACGGTCAGCAATTACCCACCAAGCTATCTAAACTATCACCCAAGCTTCTTTCAGTTTTCGCCAAAGGGCTATCCAAACTGCAGATAGATTTGAACCTAAAACGATTCTAATGACCCTGGTCTACAGAGATCAGAAGATGAGGCCAATAAGGGACAGCTGACATGAACAAAATGAACTGTTTCCCAGATGATCAGCCAGCTGCTTAAAAAGTAGGAGGAGCTGTGGACACAACCTGCCCTGAGCAGGATAACAACCTGTCTCCTGAGGTGACAGCAGGTATAAATGTTCTGTAATGTCAGTCCAGTGACAGACATCACTGGTGGGGCAGAGCACTCACCGGACCCGTTCCATCTCGCTAGCTGTCTTCACCACAGCAAAGGGCTCCCGTCGACTCCAATCCCAGAAGTGGATCTCATTGGCTGTGGCAATCAGCAGGAGCTGAGCCGTAGGGTGGAAAGCAAGGGAGGCAATAGCATTGTTGCTATCTGTGAACCAGCTTTCACTGCCACCCTGTGAATGAATCAGTCCCAAATATTCTCAGGTTAAAAACTGCCAGCAGACTGGGAAGTCAATTTCAAGAAAGGTCCGTTTAAGGCAAAATAACTACTTAAAGCACCTGCTTTAAACATGTCTTCTGTAAAACAATGCAGATCAGTGATGTAGCAGTGCCACTCATTTATCACTCAAATATTACTGTCAGCTCAGTTCTTTAAGTCATCTACAATCCACAAACAATAAGCATATGCAGTTCCTGTTTCTGAAGCCTGTGAAAACTCAAGCTTAGTGCACAACATGGTGCAGAACAACCCACCAGGCAGTCACCAGGACATGGAGCATCCTGCTTTCATGATCATGATGAAAGTACAGTACAATCTTTGCTCTGAGACAATAAAAATCCATCCTGAACTCTTCTTAGAGCCTCCTTTTCTTTGTCACAATGGGCAGATGGAAACAGTCAAATAGCATGTTCATCTTAGAATGAAAGACTATAAACTAGACTTCCTATCAATTAAGTGGGCAATGACTACCACATACTCAGATGTAATCCTAAGAACCTGGCTAGTCTCGCTTCTGGAATTAAGAACCCAATAGCAAGCAGGTCTCTGTATTTAGAATACCAAAGGAAAGGGCAACCTAAGGAAATACTTACATGTAAATCCCAAATCCTAACCTCCCCATCTAGGCAGCCAGAAGCAATAAGGCCCGAGATGGTAGGATGAAAAGTGACACACCATGGAGTGCGGCGGTGTCCAATCAGAGAATGAACACACTTGCCAGTCTTCACCTCCGTAATATAGATATTATGGTTCACGTGGGTGGAGGCCAAGAGAGTCCTAGGGAATCAAAGAGTAGGTGGGAACTGAGAAGCATGTGGGAGGTTAACAAACTTTACCAACTTTGGACAACACAGAAAATTGATACTACTTATTCCCTATGCTTCCAAGAAAGAAACTAAGCCTTGTGCATTAGGCAGCATGTCTACAAACAACAGAAATATTCTGATCTTTAAAAGCATTTGGCTTCTCCACACTGTCCCCAAATGACACATATCACTTTCAGAGAATATTTTTTCCAGCTGGGAAAACCATTGGTGGCCTACATCACATGATCAAAGGATTGTTACTGAGAAACTTTCCAAGTTTTAATCCTCGATGTTCATAGTTTCCTTTGCTCATTCCCATTATTTTTCTGGTTAGCACTGTTCATCTACTTTCTTTCCCTTTCTGATATACCGGCAAAACTCTGTTTACACAGTGCTTTGGATAGCCTTTAGGGATTGACCTAGAAAATGAAGCTAGGCCAAATATACAGAAAGCAATACTATCACAAATCTTAAGATTAAGTTACAGATAATACTAGGTACCTGTCTGGGCTGAAGGCCAGTAAGAAGGTAGATCGTGGACTATCCGGTAGTTCTACTCTCTGAGAGACCAAAAAAAAAAGTTAAAATACATTATAAATTATGGCTTACCCTATCTCAAAAGCATATGAACCATCCCAGATTAGTATTCACAGTATAGGTTTAAAAACTGGAGATAATGATCAAGCTACAAATTAAGAGACATAAATCTAAATTACCTTCAAGAAAAATGTCTAACTCTAGGGCCGGCCCGTGGCTCACTCGGTAGAGTGCGGTGCTGATAACACCAAGGCCCCGGGTTCGGATCCTATATAGGGATGGCCGGTTTGCTCACTGGCTGAGCGTGGTGCTGACAACACCAAGCCAAGGGTTGAGACCCCCTTACCGGTCATCTTTTAAAAAAAAAAAAAAAAATGTCTAACTCTAAAGGACAAAATTTCTAGCCCATAAATTTTTCCATATTTGTAAACAACTCCCTAAGTCAGACATACCACTTCTCTCACACAAGGTAAATTATACCCCAACTCTCTGCCATTAACCCATTCTACAGTCCCATTCTATCATCACCTCTATAAATCCTATGTCAAAAATACCCATTTTTCTTACCTTGCCCTCCCATTTCATCCACCGGGTTTTATCTTCCACCAGCTCCTGCAGAAGCCGCTGAGCACCCATGGCCCGAGTGCCTCGTTCTCGCCCCCAGAGTATCCGGACCGCATTCTTCTCTGGGACAACCTTCATGGCTCTCGGTAGCCACTCCCACACCAGGCACAGGAAATGAAGGAGCAAGTTATAGCTCCACACGCTGAAGCAGCTAAAATAAGGCCATTCAGGTCCTTACAAGTTCTCCTCATGGAAATCTAAGGAAGGCAGAATAATATCAAAGAATGTCTATTCTGCAACCAGAAAAGCTTCCCACCACAAATACAATTCCAGCTCAAAGGGGAAAGTATTCTTTTCCTATTTAATGACACTTTCTCAGAAAAGACCCTTCTCCCAGAACTTTTCTTCCAAAAATATTTCATCCTTTCATATCCTCCATATCTCAGCCTTATAGCTAAAGTACATATCATTCTCTAAAGCAGTTATTCTGTTATTATTCCTTTATCAGAAAAGAAGAACTTTTGCTAATAATAAAGAGGCCTAAAAACCTGCCCTAGAAACAAGGCACAACACAACACCTGCCCTCTGCTTCTATACTACACTACTTCCCTAGTGACTACACCCCTCCTCATCACTTTGGCATCCTGCAAACTAAAGAATAGGTAACCAACTTTGAAAGGCTACTACTTGAAGTATGGGTCTTATATAGCAGCTTCAATTTCATCTCCTACCAAAAAGTGTATAATGAGTATTTGGGGTTCTCATTCTCTTTTTCTCTTCTCCAGTAAAGTTCCAGAGTAGAGGAAAGAGGAAGAAACAGAAGGGGAAAAAATCAGGTCCTTTTTGTCATTTATCACAGCCTTAATGGCAGAAAACTTGATCACAAAATAAAAATTACACAAAAATGTCAACTAGCAGCAAAGTACATGCATGTGCAACAATTAAAGAATAAATTATGGGGCCGGCCTTGTGGCTCACTCGGGAGAGTGCGCCGCTGGTAGCGCCGAGGCCGCGGGTTCGGATCTTATATAGGGATGGCCGGTGCGCTCACTGGCTGAGCGTGGTGCAGACAACACTAAGCTGAGGGTCGCGATCCCCTTACTGGTCAAAAAATAAATAAATAAATAAATTATGGTTCCTCTATACAATGGAATATGCAATGCAACAAAATGGCATTTCATAAGAATATCTACATGTATACAATACTTTCCATTGCAGCATTGTTTCTTCTTACTGGTCAAAAAATAAATAAATAAATAAATTATGGTTCCTCTATACAATGGAATATGCAACGCAACAAAATGGCATTTCATAAGAATATCTACATGTATACAATACTTTCCATTGCAGCATTGTTTCTTCGACTCTTCAAATATATAAAATCTTCAAATATATAAAATATTTGAAAAAATAGTATAATAAACACACAATATTCACCATCTAGACTCAAGAATTGTTAACATTTTGCCAATTTTGCTTTGTCTATGTCCATGAATAGAGATATGGCTACATTTGGGTTGTTCTTATTTTTTTTTCAGAACTATTTCAGCAGACATCAAGACATTCTAACCATACATACTTCATCATGCATCTCCTAGGAAGAAGGATGTTCTACTTCATAACCACAATACCATTATCATTCCAATTATCATCTAATACTCAGTCCTCATTCAAATTTCTCCAACTGTCCAAAAAACATCTTTTATAGCTGACTTTGGGCTGGCCAGTTAACTTAGTTGGTTAGAATGTGGTGTTATAACACCAAGGTCAAGAGTTTGGATCCCCATACAGGCCAGTTGCCAAAAAAAAAGAAAAAAAGCTAATGTAGCTGACTTTTTTCAGAAATCCAGAATCCAATCAAAACTCAAGCAATAAATTTGGTTGTTATGTCTCTAAAATCTTTTTTATTCTATAATAACCTCCAATATTTGTTTTGTATATGTTCACTTATTTACAATACTAGCTTTTTTTAAAGGCCAGGACAGTTGACTTGTAGAATGACTTATCTGATTGCTTCCCCATAGTGCCATTTAGCTTGCTTCTCTATCTGTTATATTTTCTTTTTTTTTTTTTTTTTGACCGGTAAGGGGATCGCAACCCTCGGCTCAGTGTCGTATGCACCACACTCAGCGCACCGGCCACCCCTATATAGGATCTGAACCCGCGGCCTAGGCACTGCCAGCGCCACACTCTCCTGAGTGAGCCACAGGGCCGGCCCTATCCGTTATATTTTCTTGTCAACAGCAGATTAGGTCTAAAATCTTGACTACATTTAGTTTAAATGTTTTTGGCAAGAATGCTTCATAGTTGGTACCATATATGTACCCCATGATGGAAGACATCAAATAGTGTGCATTCGCAGACTGTTATTTCTTCCACTTTACAATTAGCAATCTGTGGCTAATATCTGGCACCATGTGAATAAACTGTTCCTCCTTAACTTTTTACCCAATGGTTTAGCATTCATTGATGAATCTTTCTTGTACTTTCTAAATTGGGGGTGGGGAGCTGAAAAGTATTGATTTTCTGATTCTATCATTAATTCTATATTTCTTAATTGGCTTTCTTCTAATAAAGAATAACTTTCCCTTAATAACTGAGGCATAAAAAATGCTTAATTTTTTCCCTTTAATTACTAATTCTTTTCTATTTTTTGCAGTAGCAAAAACTGAAGACAACCCAAGTGTCTGTCTAAAGGGACTGGATGACTAAGCTATGGTAAGAAAGATTCTCGAAGAGCCGGCCTATGGCTCACTTGGGAGAGTGTGGGGCTGATAACACCAAGGCCACGGGTTCAGATCCCTTATATAGGGATCTGTATATACAGATGGCCGGTTAGCTCACTTGGGAGAACGTGGTGCTGACAACTCCAAGTCAAGGGTTAAGATCCCCTTACCGGTCATCTTTTAAAAAAAAAAATAATAATAATATCTTGGAGAAAATAATACAAAAAATACTACTTCTTAATGCCGGCCCATGGCTCACTTGGGAGAGTGTGGTGCTAATACCAAGGCCAAAGGTTCAGATCCCTATATACGGATGGTCGGTTGGCTCACTTGGGAGAGCGTGGTGCTGACAACACCAAGTCAAGGGTTAAGATCCCCTTACCGGTCATCTTTTAAAAAAAAATAATAATAATAATATCTTGGAGAAAATAATACAAAAAATACTACCTCTTAATGCCGGCCCATGGCTCACTTGGGAGAGTGTGGTGCTAATACCAAGGCCAAAGGTTCAGATCCCTATATACGGATGGTCGGTTGGCTCACTTGGGAGAGTGTGGTGCTAATACCAAGGCCAAAGGTTCAGATCCCTATATACGGATGGTCGGTTGGCTCACTTGGGAGAGCGTGGTGCTGACAACACCAAGTCAAGGGTTAAGATCCCCTTACTGCTCATCTTTTAAATAAATTAATTAACTAAATTAAATTTAAATTAAAAAATAAAAAATACTACCTATGGTTATTTCTGGTGGTGAGATTATAGGTGATTTAATATTTTTAAAAGGCAGTTATCTATTTTTTCTTTTCGCTTTTTTTTTTGTCTTTTTCCGTGTCCGGCAATGGATCGCAACCCTCAGTGTCACCCCCGTACCGGACCGGGACCGGCAACGGGATCTCAACCCTCGGTGTTGCCCCCGCGCCTCGCTCAGCCAGTGAGCGGGAACCGGTCTGTATGTGGGATCCGAACCCTCGGGTGGGAGCGCCACCGCGCTTCCCAAGCGGCGCACCGGGCCAGCCCTTCTTTTCGCTTTTTAAGTTTAAAAAGTAATAATTGCTTACAGCAAAAAAGTCAAACAGGGGCCAGCCCGTGGCTCACTCGGGAGAGTGTGGTGCTGACAACACCAAGGCCAAGGGGTTCAGATCCCATATAGGGATGGCCGGTTGCTCACTGGGTGAGCGTGGTGCTGACAACACCAAGTCAAGGGTTAAGATCCCCTTACTGGTCATCTTTAAAAAAAAGTCAAACAATAACTGGCTCTAAATATTTCACAAAAGGCTGCAATCTAAAAAGTACACAACCAGATGCATCCAAATACAGACAGAAGGAAAAATATTTATAGCTTGTGCTAAGGAAATTTTCTCCCTCGAGTATTAAAATATAAAAAGTCAGAAAGATTCCACAGTAAGACAAATCCCAAATTCCTAGTCCCACACAGTACAAAGTTCCCTAAGTTACAATGAAGGAACAAATTCTAGCCAATACCTTCATCATATAGCTCTCATCCCTCATTAGTGCATGACATAAATATGTACACAATGAAAATGTCAAAACAGAGCTGCACGCCAACTTCCTGAATAGGCTAAGGATAAGCTAACTGGAAGGAAATAATCCTCTTGGTGACCTTGACAACTCATGAATTACAACCAAAAGTCTAGACGTGAACCCTTCGGCCAAACTGCCACATAGGTAAAAAATTACTAACCAGAAAGGTGCCAGAAATACAGTTCCTACTAGTTCACCGTAACCCTCTATTGAGTCTGCAATTCTTTTACCTAATAATGTAGAGAACTTCAGCAGAAATATTTTTAGGGTCTCCTTTCCTAACAGTGCAACATAAAATGCGCTTTCAAAGAAATACATTTAAACCACTTATAATCTTACAGTGTGTGGTGGAAACAGCAGTAGTCCAATTCCTGAACGAAAAAATATAACCTTCTGACCTCCCATAATTCAGGAGGAAAAAGAAAATATAGGTCACAAAATCAGTATGATTCAGAAAACTGTGATGTAACCTTAAGTTCCTACAGGAATCAGAAGGAAGACGGAAGTGCAGCTACAAATATCAAGACAACTAAACACTAAATAAAGTTCAGGATTACCAAAAGAATATGTCTATCAATTTCCAAGGACCCAAACACTAAAAATTCAAATGAGAAAGTCTGAATGATGAGAAGTCAAAGGGACTAAAATAACTACACAATCTCTCATGTGCCAGAAGAAAAATATTTGCTGTTACTCGAAAAGAATAAGGGATTTCTTTCCTGATATGCTCTTAACTGCCACCTGAGAATAGATTTTACTGTGTTCCATACAAAAAACAAAAGGAGCTAATTCAAGCTGAAGTCAGATAGGCCTGTCACTGAGGAGGAAGTACCAGTCAAGCTGCTTTTCATTCCTTTTTTTAAAAAAGGAAGAAGAAACAAGTTTCCCAGTCTGTCCCTTAATGTAAAGCAGACTGAGACAAAGGGGGCCAAGAATAGTCTTTGTGATGCCATTACACAGTCCCCAAAATCAATTCTCAATCACTAAAGGC